AGTTATATCCCTCTACATGGAGGAATTTTGAGGCTGATAGTGAAACAGGGCTGGTGCTCTAGAGTACAAGATCCAGTTTTTCACTGTGGGTTCCCATGTAAAATTTAGTTCATGAAGACAAATGGAAATATTTTCAGTTTTGTGCTTTAAAGGAAAAATTGAATTGTTGCAAAGATGAGTTAGTCCTATGTGAGTGGCAGATGCTTACTGAAGAGAGTGGTTAGGTATTTACTGAACTGCTGTCAGATCTCCTCTGCTGAGCCTGCTAGCCTTTTGTCATGCAGTAGCCAAGTGAGATATGTCTCATAACAGGACTGGGGGCACATAAGTGCTACATAACTAGTTGGAATTATCAGGGAGAATTTCAAGAAGGGAAATTCCCAGATCTTTGGATAAGGATTAGCCTCAGCAAGTCCTTGCCCAGATGAATATTTGAGTATGTGAAATTGTACAGCTGTTCTTATGCGGTAGGTTGGCGGTGGGTCTGGGCTGTTTCAGAGTACTGCACATGCAGAGCTGGTGTCTTCATTCCATTTTACTTCTGGGAAATGGGCTAAAGTTGAGCTGTTGCAGATACTTGGGTCTGAGCCCATCTTTGTGTGTGACAGATATATCACTGGTAAATCTATAATTGCCTGTAGCAAACTGCATCAGACATTTCCAGCCTCTTCCACCCACTTGTCAATGTGACTAACGATTTAATTATCACACTACTTAACACAGCGCGTGAGTGTTCCTAAGTAAGGTATATCTTCAAGTATTCCCCCTCCTGCTATGCCAACGTAGGCTGCACCTTGTACAAAGTGCCTGTTGCAGCTGCTGTGTGCGTACACACATAAGGGGATGAGCTTTTTACATGCTCGTTTGCTCATTTCTTACAAGCTGCTCAGGTGTGTGAGAAATAACCCAAGTGTACAACACCTGTGTTGTCTCCTAACTGGCAGGTCAGGGACTGTCGATTCAAAACTAGTTTGGCAACTGGTTGGCGAGATCATTGGGGGGTTCCTGCCTGTATGTTTCACAGGGTCTTATGGCAGAGGTTTGGGAAAGTAGCGTGGCCTCTCTTCACCCCTGCCAGTTCCTGTGATGTATTTCTGTCTCTCATATTTTTAGTTGTCTCCCTGTGCTGTACTTGTCTTTCAGATGCCTGAGATGGCCTTGCCCTTAGTGAACAAAGTCTCTGGGAAATGAACTTCCCATACGTTCAAGGTGGCTTGTTGGGAAGGAGAGAGTACAAATCTGAAATGGGTATGTCTTTCACAGGAGAAAAAAAGTTGGGTGTGGTGGCTGCAGGGTTGGTAGTTTTGTCTGCTGCCCCTTCTGCACCTGAAAAATTTGTCAGGCTTGTGCTTGTTCTGTTGTTCCTCCCCCAGACCACCGCTGGTGGTGGTGGTGTGGTGGCTCTGGCAGGCCTGCCTTTCTCTGAGAAAGGTGGAAGGAGCAGAAGATTTAGAAAAACTGCCTATTGGCGTTTCTTGGACCTTTTTGTAAACCTGAAGCAGGTGAGCCCAAGTTTTTGCTGCAGCACTAAAATACTTGTATTTGCTTAGCAGTTTGTAGGAAGCCTCTTTTGCTTTGTACTGGAAGTCTGTTGCTCTGGCAGGAGTTGGGAGTTGCTCTGTTTCAGCTGCAGCTGAAGTGACTTAAACTTTCTGCAAAATGGTGGTAATGGATGCCTGATTGCTCCTTCTGTTGCCAGAGGCCCAAGTGGTTTATCATCTTAAACGCAATGCATTAGCTTCTGCACCTCCAGCTTGCTGACACAGCCTGCCAGAGGACCTGTGGTCTCCAGGTGTCCGTCCCAGTGATCTTTGCTATGAGGATCATTTGTTTAGCTCATGTTTGGAGAAAGCTACTGGACCCATCCGACTTGTTTTATTTCAGTTTTTACAATAAAATTTACACGTTGAATAACTTCCTTTGGGGGTATGTTACTCAAAAAAGGCAGTGACAGAACCATGCTTGTGTTGCTCTGTCTCACTTGTGCAGTTTTCTGTCACTTAATTTCATAGCTGATATTCCTGAGGTACCTTTTCCCTGAGCTTTTAAATCTGTTGCATTATGTGATCTTTGCATAAGGTGCACCAGGAGGTTCTGTTGGAATTGTAATGAGATAAACTTGGATTTTCTTGGTTATATAGGGGATGCTGTTCCTACAGCTGCTACACAGCTGAGGCAGGCAGAGGGGAGGGCATGCTTGTGTTTTCCAGCTATATCCCATTGCAGCTCTGGTCTGATCTGCTGCAGAGCTTTACCTTCTAGGGTGTTCTCACCCATACCAGCTGCTTGGTCTTTATTTCCCCCTGAATATATTTTGTTTGGATAATCTTCCCCCAGGTGTAAGATCTTTGCGATACATATGTAACTGAAGTCTCATGGTGTTGTTGTCTTAATTATAATTAACCCTGTAGATGGCTTGTCATTTCTTCCTTCTCAGTGTGGGCTGCTCTTTCCTTGTGTTAGTAACATAATCAATGTACTGTCTTGACTCTGAAAACCATGAATGAGACCTTTGAACTAAGGCAGATACTTTCTATGATTTGGTTTAAATGACAGTGTTCCTACCCTTACCCAGATTCATCATTTGGTAACAATTTTGCAAGAGGCAGAATGGCACATTGCCTCTAGGTGGTGTGATTTCTTTAAATGCTTTAATAAAAAATTCAGTATAAAGTCAGGTGTATGTTCTTCAGTCACATTCCATTAAACCTGAGTAGGCAGCGGCTGTTACTTCCCTTAGGAGCATTTTGCTGTGAGAATTGCTGCCCTGATTTTTAAAGCGTAGTAAAGGCAATGCTGTGGGGTGGCTAAACCTGATTGTAGCCACTACTGTGATTGTTTTATGGAAGAATTTGTATGATACTGTAGATAATAATGGGCAAGATAACTCTACTTTTCAGATTGGAAAAATGAAGATTGACTTTTTCGCTTAGTCTTCTGGTTTTCTACAACTGTTCCAGATTCCTTAATCCCATTTCTGTGAGATTTTGCCATCTAGTTGTTGGGGTTTTTTTAATTATTATTGTTTGCCAGATGACATTTTGCGAGGTACTCCCCTTGCAGTGGAGGGAGTGAATGATTGTTAGCAAAACACATCTGAGCTTTTTCATGTGTTCCTGCAAGCTCCTTTATTCTAAAACTGACGTGCTGTCTTTGCTGCTGGGAAGCACAACATCTTTGTATGGAAATGATTATGATGGACAGCAAGTTAACTCTGATGGATAAGTTACTCACTTTTAAAATAGATCCATATAATGCTGAACAGCTCTTTAACCCTCACCACATTGCAAGGAGTCCTGCTTGTTGTTTCAAGCTCTGAGCCATAAAGCATTTTCCCAAGGTAGTGGGGTAAGAGGCTTTGTCACACCTGGTTTTAGGGATTTGTGCTTCAGCTCCTGACGACTCCTGTAAGTGTAGGTTCATCTGTCCTGAAGTGAACGTTCCCCATAGTTCAACTCTGCTTTCCCATCTGTGGTGGTGACTACTGAACTTTGAAAACAAAATACTGAAACGATGATGGTGTGCATTACCTATGAAGAAAATAGATCGCTTACCTAAGATGAAGGTTGCTAATGCTTCCTTATGACAGAGAAGTTAACTGCAGCTCCAGACCTAAATACTATTTGTGAAGCTTTCCGTTTATTTCATCCTTGTTAGAGAGAAATGTCATGAACCGTGAGTGGCGTGGTAAGGATACCTTTTATTGGTGTGAAGTGTGTATCCACCGAAGAGGCCTGGTCTTTCCAGCAGGTCTTTGAGCTTGGGATAGGGTCGTGGTGCTTGTCGCACCAACCGTTCTGCTGCGATAACGTGTATTATGTGCAGTGCGGTTGAGAAAAAGTTAACATCTGCGGCATAAGAAAGAGTAATGACTTTTTTTGACAGAAATCAGCTCCTTCGGACAGATTTTTATTACCAAAACATAACCGGAAAGCTTTTTAGGAAAATAACTTTGAACTCCTGACTCCTCGGGCAGTGGAGTAACGTCTCCGCCAAGCGCCGAGGCAACGTCTGCTTTACACAGGTTTTATCGGCCGACGGCTCGGGGGCGGAGGGGGCGGGAGACGGCTTCGGCAGGCGGCGCTTCATCCCGAGCGCTGCCTTGCCG